CATGCTACATGTGGTATGACTCCATATGCTGCCAAGCCAAGTGATATCTGACAGAGGTTCCAAATTCATTTCCAAGTTTTGGGGGGAGTTGATGAAGATTATGGGGGTGGAGAGGGGTTTGAGTACCTCGTACCACCCAGAGACTGATGGCCAAACCGAAAGAGTTAATCAGACATTGGAACAATACTTCAGGTGTTTCACTTGTTACCCCTTGCCGAGTATTGCTACAACAACACCTGCCACACGTCTACTGGGCTGTCACCATTCAAAGCGCTTTATGGCTACGACAGCCCACCCCTGCCGTTTTTGGAGGGGACAACAGATGTGGGCACCGGTGATGCAGGCTCTTGGTGCAAGACTTTACAAGAGTCTTGGCCACTCTTGCAAAAGACATTGGACGCTGCCAAAGAGGCATATAAGACTCAGGCTGACAGGAGAAGGGTTGGGCTCTGCAGCCTGGGGACTTTGTGTACATTTCCACTAAGAACATTAAGATGTTGCGTCCCAGCAGGAAATTGGGGTGGAAGTTCATTGGGCCTTTTAAGGCTCGCAAGGTGATAAATGATGTTGCTGTTGATGTTGAATTGCCAAAGAATTTGAAATCCTTGCATTCTGTATTTCATTTCAGCCTTCTGAAGAAGGACACGGGGTCGTGCCAGTGGCGAGACGCCAAACCCACACCTCCCCCCATCTTGATCGAGGGGGATGAATATTATGAAATTTCTAAGATCTTGGATTCAAAACGCAAGCGTGGAAAACTGTTTTATTTGGTGGAATGGAAAGACTTTGGTCCCCAGCACCTCAAATGGGTGGAAGTAGGGGATATTAGGGCCCCTCAGTTGATCCGAAGGTTCCATCGGGAGTTCCCGGACAAACTGGGAGATCTCCCAGATTAACCGGGAGATAATTTGCACGAGGTGTAAAGTTGATTTTTAAGGGGGCAGTATGTCAGCAAGCTGTCAATGTTTATTTTCATTTCCTACGTGTGTGTGTGCGCTTGCTTTTATTTTCGTAGACGTGTAGATGCGCATGGCTATGTAGCTCGCTGTAACAATTATATCTCCTCAAGGCCACAGGTGGAAGCAAGCTCGTTAGCACTGGGAAGCTCTCATGAATCACTGTGAGAAGAATATAACATGAGAGGCTAGGAACCATTAGTTCTCATGCCCAAAGGCGCGAGCGGGAAAGCCATGCAAGCGCGCAGGAAGTCCCGCAATTGGGTAGTAGTGGTTTGAATGTTTGATTATATGTCTTGCCCTTGCTTGTGTTCTCCATTCTGAACAGTGACCCTGTTATGCACCTTCAGCTCTAATAAAGTTACCTTTTCTTCAAAAGCGTGCTTATTATGATTGCAAAGAGCTTTAAACCGGCATATTCTGCTACTAGGTCCCAAGTGGTGGTATCCTGAGTGCACCGGTTGTAACTGCTTTACCCCCCGTCTGATCGCTCTCCACCATTGTAGAGTCACTTCCATTTGGAAGCTGGAAGCTTCTGCTTTTCGCCCACCATTTTTTTTGTTAGGTCGGTGATATGCGCTTGGGCGAAGCTTTGCCCCGGCGTTTGTTTACAAAAAAATAAAAAGGTCCTTAGTTTAAGGTTTTAGAGGAGTCCGGGACCTCAGGGAGGCCAGTTTGGTCTTTAAACTTTAAAGGTAAGTCCTCTCTTCAGGGCATGCTTTTTGGGACAGGGTGTTTTGCGCATGCGCGAAGATCGCCATTCTGTGGATGGCTGCCTATGCACATGTGCAAACTGAGTAAAAAACCCCACAAAAACGCCGACACCCGCTGTGTGTGAATGGGCATACAGTGCTGGGCTCTGCAGACAGGAGGTAAATGTGATCGCATTTCAGCCGGCATAAACTGCAGTGCAGTTTATGCCGGCTGAAACGCCCCGTCTGAACGCACCCACTGTCTTGGATAGGCAGCTGAACTCTGGGGCCAGGCCTGAATTTGCTCCTTTCCATAGGGCAGTTCTACAGGTCACAACTTCCTTGCTGACTGCTTCTTCTTTTGTTAATTCTTTCTGTCCACCTACTGTAGGGTCCCGTTGGGCAAACAGAAGGGATTATGAGGCTCTCTAGCTACTACCTGCTTGTCTCCTTGAAGATCCCATTTCCCCTGTTGTTCTGCTCCTGCCAGTAGTTGAGCTGTATTCTTTGAGAGCCTGCCCGGGGGCACTGATGCATCAGAGATGCCATATCACTTCTGCTCCAGCTGGGATGCTGTGGAGCCACCGGGAAGCCACAGGTGTGTGTGCATAGGTGAGCAAATTTAGACTTGCTAGGGACATAACTGCACTTAGGCTGGAGGGCCACTTTCGGAGAACTTATCAATTCCAACCCATTTTACACAAACCTGTAACAGGGTGGCTGTTAAGCTCAGGCCAGTCTACTTTCAATTTCTAGCAGTCCTGGTTCTTGTCACTGTACCTTCACCTGCTATTTCAAATTCCTTGGGGGGGGGGGAGAGGGTGTGTTGTTGGAATGTATGGGAGTAGAGGCTTTGTAACTTTCTTGAAGAGGCGCCCCAAGATAGTTCCGGTGAGACTGTCCTTGGAGATCTGTATGCCAGGCTAGGTTAGATAGGGCATCATATATCTGTGCATGTTGCCATAGAAATGCCAGGGACTAGGTGTGACATGTGTGTGTATGGAATGTATGGGTTTTACATATATGTTGTATTTTCCCACACTTTTCTTCAGTCCTAACAAAGGCTTTGGAACCCACAGCATCATATCTCTAATAAAGCATTACACTGCCAAAAGTGTGTGTGGAGAGTGCATTGACTGGGGAACCTAACAGTGGCTGCCACTGCTTCCATGGCTGCAACCACAGAAGGACAGGTTAATGTGGTTAACTGGTCCTGACACCATCTTTGCATATGAGGCAAGTAGTGAGCCTTGCAGACGGTTCAAGTGCGGAATCTTTCTAATTATTGCAATGTGGATTTTTCTTTTCTTTTGGAGTAAAACTGTAAGCAAACTTTGGATACCAAACGGCAGGGAGGTATTGACAGAGTTCCAAACTTCTTGGCTCTTATGAAAATGAGATATGTTGTAACCCCAGCAGCCTATTTATTGCCATTAGAGATTCCGTCCCATTGCAGGGCTTTCTCCATGGCTAGATGGGATATGTTCCCCTCTGCGGTTGTAGAGGGACATTACAAAAGGTTTCAAATGGTTGAGAGGGTCTGTCCTTGCGGAACAGGCAAGGTTGAGACAATCAAGCATATTCTGCTTCATGACTGTTTTTATCAGGAAGTTCGTGTGAAGATCTTAGAACTTTTGCTTGGGAGGTTTCCCACATGTCCTGCGTTAGAAACTGCTAAGAAGTTTTTATCTGACGTAATTCCTCAGCTTACATTTGCCTGAGCCAGATTCCTTGCTGCAGCATGCAGAATTCGCAAGAAACGATTATAAGGAAATATGTTCTCCATGGTCTTTGTTTCATGCATCAATCTTGATTTTTGTTTTTAAATTTATAGCATTTTTATTCATTTCTGTAAATTTTTACTATGGTTCATTTCTTAAAACCTTTTGGATTTTGGTATAATTCATTTAAATTGATATATGCTGGTCATGGGCTGTAATAAAAATTGACTGATGGTTGGTAAGCAAACTTGGAGCTAGATCTAGCTTGCAAGCTGCCAGTTGTCTGGCTTGCAAGCTGCCCAATCTGCATTTGTATTTCCCACTGTTGTGCAAATGATCTCATATCATCTCACAAACTTCTGTCTACATTTAATGCCGTATCCACTCTCCTATTGTTTCATCTCAGCATCGGCTGTCTGCATCATTTTATTGCCATTTAGTGGTGACTCCAAGGTCACTATGGCATTTTAGCACCTTATCTGAATGTGGTTTTAAAGTGGTACAACTGCTCCTCCCCACTGTAGATCCTCTGTGAGCAAAAAGCAGACAACTGGAGCTGAATTCTCCTCCACCCCCAATCTTTTCTAAGGAGATATGCAAATTGTCACAAAGGAAACAAGTTAGCTGAAAATCCAGTCGAACATCCAGGGAACATTTTTCTGCGCCCACCCCTGAACCATTTGTTATTTCCTGGGGCAGTCTCCAGAACGCCCTGCCTGGCAACTGCTGGGTGTTTTGTGTTTTTTACCCAGCTTGTTCCATCTTTCCTGCCCTCCCATCTGCCAAGTCACCCCCTTTTACTTTCTGTGTGTGGGGGGGTCGCAGGTGCCATTTCCTCCCCCCCTCTCTCATGCTCTCCCTAAACAACTTGAGTCCTGATGCAGACAGAGGAGAGCTTTATACTGAGCCAAATGGGAAGCCAGCGCCACAACAGCACAGAACAGCTTTACATGGCAAATGCAGATTGGGCCGCTTTCTCCTCTAGATCACAAGAAGCTTATAATCAATGTTAAACCTTCCAGTGTCTAATCTGTTTAATTTTAGGATCTCAGCAGGCCCTTCAGCAAACCTTGCTGAAAACTGATCTTGAGTGCCAAGACTTGTAGGTACCACAAAATTTCTGAGAAAAACAGATTGTGGAATGAAGCCCATTATTTTAATAGAGTCTAGGCAACGTATTAGATAAAGACTGAGAAGATATATGCAATGGGATGGAACCCACGGAGGAGGTCCACAAACAGAGGGAGAAGTGATTTTCAATCATTCCCCCCTCCCCAGAAGACTTCCAGCTCCACGTCATGGTGTCCCTGGGAACACCTGTCCATCACGATAAGTGTTTGGGGGGAGTTTTGTGCTGCAGTGGGATTGGGGACCCAGGGAAGTCCTACTCCACTCACAGAAATCTTGTCCATCAGCAGAAATTACCACTGGATGCAAGCCAGTTTGCAGTGTCAACTAATGAATACAAACACTCTTAATGTATAATATATGTATCATAAATTTATGCCAGTTCGATGCTTGGTTACTTCAACTACATTTCCAGGCAATTGAAGGACCTGAGTTTCTTGGCAATTTGAGAGACTTGGATTAACTAAATCAACCCCACTATTTCATGGCATGTCAATACTCACATTAATTATGACTGAAAACTTTCCAATGCCACTCAAGATGTTAAACCAAATTCCTGCAACAGAGGACAAGCCTTTGTTAAGAGGTTTTGCTTCCAGTTCTTATTGCTCACTGAATTCCAGGCACCCTCCTACCTCCCCCTTCTTTCTTCTGCAGTGCTTAAAATAACCCCTCTTTTCCTACTGTCACTCCAAATCAACATGCATACCAATATCTTTTGCCCTAACCGCATCTGGCCTTCTTAGTTCGGCAACAAACTTTTTGGCATCCAGCCGGACCTCGATGACGTTGTTGAGCAGAGCGAAAACAGGGGCCAGCGGAAAAGAGGCGACGAAGAGCGTGACGAAGCCAAACTGGATAACTGGAAGACAGAAGAGGTTTGCTCTTAAAAGTCTGCATTGAACTTTTCCAGAGACACTGGTATATATCGTGTCTGTGCTTAAATATCATTGCAAAACCCTGTCTTGAAAGTAATCAGTCCTCATTACAATAAGATCAAATTATTCCAGAGATGGAATGTATTGCTACACTGGTATATATCGTGTCTGTGCTTAAATATCATTGCAAAACCCTGTCTTGAAAGTAATCAGTCCTCATTACAATAAGATCAAATTGTAAGGTTTAGCCATAGTCTTGAGAAGAATTATTGCAAAACAAGACCTAACAAACTCAAATGTGAAGTTGCCCATGCTGTAAGCCAGTAGGCTATGCCCACGTCGCAGAAGAGATAAAAGTATGTAAAAGATCTCAAATCAGAGAGCATCGCAATGGCACTGGAGCCCATACCAATTGCCACAAACCACCAATCACCACACAGTGTGATAACAATACCCTCGTGAGAGACAGAGATGGAAAGTGTCAATCAGTCGCATCAGTCTTTTGCCAGGCAAGAGGGATACAGTGCAGCAATAGCAGGATACACAGCTGTGTAGTCACAAGAGGCATTTCTGTCATCTCCCCCAATCACTCACTGGGGGAAAGCACCTGTGCAGCAAAATGGCGGCACGGGTTTGAATCCCACCTGGGGGCTGTGTGCAAGAAGGCCAAACATGCCTTTTGGCCAGCTACAGGCCAATCAGCAGCAAAACAGTAAGAAGAGGCTGGATTAGAACCCACACCTCACATACTTCAGAGCAGACCTCTAACCACACACCCAACTGGTTATACAGAAGTGACACTCAGCATAGTGTATTAGGAATCCTCCCAAAGTCCTGGCATTAACCCCAGCCATACATACCAGGGCCAATAGACAGGACTACAGAGAAAGAGATCCTGCCTTTCTCCTCATTGGAGAAGCTTATAACATTATTCTCTTCTCCCCCATTTTATCCTAAAAAAACCACACACAACCCCCCCAAAAAAACCCCATTGTGAGGCATGTTAAGGTGAGAGGTCACCCAGTGATCTTCCATGGAGAGTGGTGGATTCATCCCTGGGTCTCCCAGAATCTAGTCTGACACTCTAACCACAACGCCACACTCGCTCTCCAGTATACACCATAGAAATGCCACACAGACCATTTGGAGTTCTTTGAGAGTTCATACTTGCAGTGCCCCTGTAAACAGAGTTGCTTCTTTTTAAGCCCACTGAGTTCAGCAAATTTATACTGGTGCAGGACAGCACTGTTGGTCTTCCAAGGAGTTTTTAACGAACTACTTCAACAGAAGCTCCTGAGTGAATTGAGAGGTCATGGGATAATCTTGTTTAGGAAATGAATAAACAGTAGGAAGCATAGCACAAATAAAAAGGAAGGGTATTCTGTAGAGGCACACAAGGATCCATGTTTGGATGAGTGCTATTTAGTTTGTTAATCAGTTGTTTAGAGTAAGCAGTGAAATGGCCAAATTAGTAAATGATACCAAATTTATGAAAGACGATGAGAATCAAGAGCATCTGGGTGATGGAACGACAAGAAGGCAAATACTATTTAATGTAAGTCAATAACACAGATGGAGTCTGGCTGTGACTGAACAGGAAGGAAACTTTTTTTTGGCATGGAATGTTCACTCAGCGGTGGGAAAGGCAACTTCTATACTTGAGATTATTAGGAAAGGGATTGCAAACAAAAAGCCAGGATCACAATGCCCTATGGTGCATCCATGATTGAAATACAGTTTACAGTTCTGGTCAATCAATTTCCAATGTGATCATCATAGAGCACCAAAAGTCAATGAAAATGATTAAGGGGTGGAGCACCTCTCTCTGGGATAAGGCTAATCATAGAATCATAGAGTTGGAAGGGGCCATACAGACCATCTAGTCCAACCCCCTGCCCAATGGAGAACCAGCCTAAAGCATCTCTGACAAATATTCATCCAGCCTCTTCTTGAAAGCTGTTAGTGAAGGGGAGATAATCACCTCCCTAATATCCAGCCAATACCTTTCTGCATGTAATTTAATCCTGTTGCTTCGGGTCCTATCCTCTGCTGCCAACTGGAATAGCTCCTTGCCCTCCTCCCAATGACAGTCTTTCAAACATTTAAAGAGAGCAATCATGTCCCCCCTCAATCTCCTCTTCTCCAAACTAAACATTCACAGGGCCCTTAGCCTTTCCTCGTAGGGCTTAGTCTCCAGACCCCGATCATCCTCGTCACTCTCTTCTGCACCCTCTCGATTTTGTCCACATCCTTTTTGAAGTGAGGCCTCCCTGTCAATGTCAACTGGACACTCAGGTGTCCTGTTATGTCCTATACCATCTCTAGATGGGCTCGAGTTCTTCTGGGAGAAAACAGAGGACAAAAGTCATTAAGCCTGTCTGCTTTTTCTCTGTCCTCCACCAGAGTTTCTCCTTCTACTCCCAAAAGCGGTCCAATTGCCTCTTTTACCTTGCGTTTGCTTCTCACATATCTGTAGAAGTTTTTCTTATTGTAGCAAGCCCTCCTGGCCAGACCCAACTCATACTGAGCTTTGGTTTCCCTGATGGCTGATCTGCAGTACCTAGTAACTCTCATATACTCCTCTTTAGAGGTCTGACCTTCCCTCCGTTTCCTTTTCCTCCCTTAGCTTATTCTGAGGTGCTCAGTTTATCCACATCGATTTCTTGGAGCCCTTACCATATTTCCATCTTGCTGGAATACTGAGGGCTTGAGCTCGCAGAAGCTCATGTTTGAGAAGAGCCCACCCTTCAGTCGCTCCTTTCCCTTCCAGCACACTCCCCCACGGAATGACTCCCATCATGTTCGTTGAAAATCTAACCTATGAGTCTGGCTATGAACTTCCTTGACCCCCCACAGCAACTGGAATTCAAGGACGACATGGTCACTTCCCCCTAAGGTCCCCACCACCTTCACCCCGTCTACCAATTCTTCCCTGTTGGTTAATATTAGTATGGCTGAGCCCCTTGTAGCTTCCTCCACCATTTGAAAAAGGAAGTTGTCGGCTAGACAGGTCAGGAAGTTGCGTGATTCTTGTTGCTTTGTTGAGCCTGTCTCCCAGCACACATCGGGGAAGTCGAAGTCTCCCATAATTATAAGGTTCTGATGTCTGGATACTCTACCAATCTGTTCAAGGAGGACAGTATCCATTTCCTGTCCCTGGTCAGGCAGTCTGTAGCAGACTCCCAACAACAATACCCTTTGTCCACTTATTTCCACCCATATACTTTCCATGGGGCTGTCAACCACATTCTCCAGAACGTCCTGACAATTTAGCCCTCTCTTCACATACAGTGCCACTCCGCCTCCTCTTCTACCCTTCTGTGTTTTCTTGAACAACTCATACCCATCCACTACCACATCCCAGTCATGAGAATCATCCCACCAAGTCTCAGTGATTCCTATTATATCATAGCCCCCTGTTTGCAAGAGAATCTCAAGCTCTTCCTTCTTATTACCCATACTATGGGCATTGGTATATAGGTACTTGTAGCCTTGTAGCTTTGTTTGACCTGTCCTACCCACTGTTTTCTCTTCTTCATTGAAGTCCCCATGTTGATCGTCCCCTTCCCCTTGTGGCTTCAGTTTAAAGCTCTCCTGATTAAGCTCTCCAGGGTTCTTTCCAAATGTCTTCTTCCCTGATCTTGAGAGGTGAAGCCCATCATGTGCTAGAAGGCCTTCCCTAAGAAAATGTATCCTGTGGTCCCAGAACCCAAAGTGCTCCTGCTGGCACCACCATCTAAGCCAAAGATTCACCTTGAGTATGGTCTGTTCTCTTTGCACTTCTCTTCCTTTGACTGGAAGGATAGGAGAATACCACCTGTGCCCCCAATGCCTTCAACTGCCTTCCAAGAGCTTAATAGTCCTCTAATTTTCGTGATGGTATTCGCAGCCGTATCATTCGTCCCCAAACGGGTACTGATCAGTAGGTCTTATCAGTTTTGGCAGTCGGTCTGTAATATCCTGAATTCTGGCCCCAGGTAAGCAACACATCTCTTGGAGTAGGGGATCCGGCCTGGACACATTACGTTCCATACCCCTGAGCAGAGAGTCCCAGATGACCACCACTTTTCGTTTCCTTCCAGTTCCATCTGGCACCATGCCCTCTTCACTCCCTTTTCCAGGTCTTTGTGGTTTCTCCTTCCACTCTCATCTCTGTCACCCTCTCAAGCACCGCAAAACGATTCTTGAGCTCCAGTGGACCAGAGCGTTATCGTAGTCGATGTCTTTGGGTTTGTACTGTAGAACTGAAAGGAGGCTCAGAAGGGAGATTGACTCTTCCTTCTTCTCCTTGACTTTCTTCTTCATGTTCTTGCAGAGTTCCCAGGCTCTTGTCAAAAAATCCTCCCCTTCCTTGATTTCCTGAAGGGTGGTGATTCTCTCCTGCAGGCTCTGAATGTTCTCCTCCAAAAGCCTGCGCAGCTTACACTTCTGACAAGTGAAGTCCATCTTCTCTTCCAGGAGGAAAACAAACATGGCACACTCCATGCAGGTGACTTGGAAGGCGCCTTCAGCTGACATAATTGCCATTAAATATATTCCAAGAGTACTCTGAGCAGAGTTTCGGGGCCCTCAGGCAGATCCTCAGGCTAAGAGCCACAGGCCCAGAGCCCTTTAGCTTTTTTTGTTCCAAAAGGTCACTTCCTGCCAGGCACAACAGAGCTCAGCACAGTAGGGGGCGGGGCTTGTAATCAACAGTAACTCACTCAGTCCTCAACAGCCCCCAAAACACAATTAGCCCCAAACAGAACTTAAACAGAACCACTCTCTAGCAGCCTCCAAAGAACCCACTTACCCTCAGCTTTTCACACAGCAGGTAGGAAAGGCAAAAGGCAGAAGGACAAAAACCCCTTACCCTCTAGCAACACCTCACCATGTGCTCTCCACTCCCTGCCTTAGGCCAGCTGAGTTTGAGCTCCTCACTTTAGGGAGAAGACAATGGCGGGAAGGACATGACAGAGGTTCATAAAATCATGCATGGGGTGGA